TATTATTATTATTATTATTACTATTATTATTGGAGGGGGTGGGTTTCCCCATGCACCGCGACTAATAGTCTATTGTACGTCCCCCTTTGATATTCTACCAGTCGCCATACCTTACCGGTACTGGTATACAGTATACACAGACGGATAATAACAATAGTGAACTGTCTGCGTCGTCCATGTTTAGTCGGGGTCACCAACGAGGTCGGCCCTCGGTACCTGATATTTCCCCCATCTACCAGAGGCATTGGAAACTACTTGGGCGGGAAACTTGCCTAATTTTGCTCAGAGGTCTCCTAGAGACATGAGGATCTTTTACGTGCCGTAAATCTACGACACGGGACCCACGGCTTAAAGTCCCTCCCGGAGGACTTGTTCCCTGATTTTTTCCGCGTACCTTGAGTCATGAGGTGGGAACGTTACTCCTAGACTACGGAGTGCCATACTCGTAAACCATCATCAGAACTCCTTTAGACTTTTCCACCTCAACCAAAAACAAATAACCTTGCAGGTGATGTGTTATAATTACAGCCTGATTGACAATGGCAGATTCTTTGCAGGGTTGGGTGATACATGCGAAGAAAGTGCGGAGTGCCTTGTGTCATCTGCGGCGTGTAGCTTAGGCAGATGTCAGTGTGAACAGGGCTTCAGTCCCAGTGAAGACAACAGCAAATGCATTGGTAATGGTAAACATTTTACCTCACCTATGACTCTATTATATATCGTACAGAAGAGAACTTAGTAACAAAGTTAAAGTCATACTTAGCTAAGTTCTGACATATTTCCTTAAGAGGCATTTTAATCCAATCAACCCGAAGGTTAGGAATCTGGGTAGCTCAGTTAGTATAGAGACAGGTTAAGGGCTGGACAGCCGGGGTTCGATTGCTGGCAGGGGTAAATTTCTTCTTTTCTCCATAAAGTTCAGACGGGCTATGGGGCCCAAACAGTCTCCTATAAAATTGGGGGCTGTTTCCCTGGCGCTAAAACAGCAGAGAGTGAAGCTGACCACTCACCTCCATCTAGTGCCGAACTCGTGAATAGTGGAATTATTCCTTCACTCTCACGTACAAGTTCATGGCGTGGTGCTTAACAAAGTAAGCACAGGGGAAACTTTACTTTTACTTTCTTTTTACCTACTCCTAGGTTTCCAAAGTGTTCTCTCATTTTTGGGGTTTTCAACCGAATGTTGTATCTATTTCTGGTATTTCCAATGCGTGTTAATTGTCCCTTCAGTATATTGCGAAATCTAAAAAGACACTTTGATATAAATTTTCATGACACATTAATCAAACATAGACTGAGTACGGCCATTACCTATTTCTTCGGCGCTATATATAGTCTATCTTACTGAGAGCGTCGTTTAATAAATTAAAAAAATATATATATATTTCTACGTGTGAGATTTGGGGCTCTATATGCGATGATTTTGTTGAATACAATCTTCCCGGGTGTGAATCTATATAGTCGTATAAAATTTAATGGACGTTTCGGAGAAACACACTACGAGCATATTTAAAACCACTTGCTTCAGCCTATGGAAACCGGTTCACGGCATAAAATAACTCCGTGACCTGCAGTCCGCAAGCGAATTATACTGACCGAGCGACCGCCGCTTGTCGGCGCAGTTAGTGCCAACGTTAGCGGATAGAGGGTGTCACGTGGTCAGCGCAACGGATCTCCATGGCCGTTAATTTCGGTTTCTAGACCGGAAACCCACTTGCTTACTGCTTCATATTTGGTCGTTTCCTTGTTCGACCCACACTTCGACACTGAAGATGGAAACAGTCAATTCCTCTGAAACGTCTGTTAACTTCTATTCTATTACATAGAATCATTTCCAGGCAGTCAGAATTCTTCATAAGTACCACTGTGAAAACCTCGGATCATACGCAGAATTCTTCACGTCTTTACTGGTTTCATTGCAGGTGAAAATGGACAGGAACCATCTCAGTACTCCTTACGTGTTCTGGTGATCACATTCGTTCTGCCAAAAATGTCTGAGTACTTCAAATGCTCATTATAAACAACTACAAGATGATTGAAACCGTTTCCATGACCGTGTGTATATAGCATTATTTATTCCGTTTGATGGTCGTGAAGTTGCAACCAAATCAGGCTTCCAGCAACACAACATTACTCTACACTATTAACGAGTTAGCAAAAAAGAAAAACAACTTTTGAGATTTTCAGGATGTTGATTCTTCCGGCTGTGGTCTTCTGGGTTGTTATGCGTATCATCATACACATCACTTCGGCCTTGAATATATAGGTAGCATGTTTTCCCGAAATGTTGTTATACAAGACTACATGCTGTCTCAACCCAGAAGACCACAGTTTGATATTAACAGAAAGATTGAGTTTCGCATCTGTGGAGAGTATTTCTAATAAGATCTCTCAAACACGTGTATTAGCAGAGGCTTGCACGCCAATACTTGAAGGCGTTGTTTATGACAAAATGTTAAGTACAACTACTGGAATAAAATGAAATATATATTGTTTATATATTGTCATATATTCATTTCATTAAGTCCTATAATTTCCATGTCATCTGAAGTAACTTATTTTTAATTTTGCAGTATGTAACCTGCTAAATGCCGGTCACGGTAGCCGAGCGGTCTAAGGCATGCACTGTCTTCGCTTGCTCGGAAGCCGGGATCGTGGGTTCGGATCGGTTTCCTGTGAGGTACGAACTGAATTCTTATATATTATTCTTATACACTGCCGGTCACAGTAGCCGAGCGGTCTAAGGCATGAACTGTCTTCGCTCGCTCGGAAGCCGGGATCGTGGGTTCGGATCTGTTTCCTGTGAGGTACGGACTGAATTCTTATATATTATTCTTATACACTGCCGGTCACGGTAGCCGCGCAGTCTAAGGCATGCACTGTCTTCGCTCGCTCGGAAGCCGGGATCGTGGGTTCGAATCCCACTCAAGGCATGGATGTTTAGTATGTGTGTGTGCGTGTTTCTGTGTTTGTGTACAGGTAAAGGCCTTGCGACGAGCTGATTACCCGCCCAAGGAGTCCTACCGAATGTGTAAGATCTAGAAAAACCGAAGTGAACGGAGAAGTTCATGGAGGTAGGCCTAGGCCCACTGGGGCTATAGTGCCAAGGAAAACAAAAACCCTGCTAAACAGAGGAGCGCCACCAAATATGCGCGCAATTTAGACGTACTAACTTTCTGATGCCGGTCACAGTGGCCGCGCGGTCTAAGGCATGTACCGTTTTCGAACGCTCGAACATTGGGACCGTGGGTTCAAATCCCTCTCCAGGCATGGATGTCTGTGTGTGTGTGCGCTTATTTTGTGTTTGTGTTGTTCTGTGTTTAGATAGTGGTCTTGCAACGGGCATGGAGCCCTACCGACTGTGTATAGATTAAGAAACTGAAAAATCGGCGAAGGTTGGAGGAGATGTGACTGCTCAGTCGGTATAGGGACCACACTAAGAGCTAGACGATCGAGGACTCGGGGTTCAATTCCTGGTAGAGTCAGGATGCTTTTCGGGATTGCTCGTGTTTTGGAATTTGTTTTTCCGGTATTCTAAAGAACGTTAAAGAAGGCAAAGTTTCGGAAACTGGATCTGTTTCCATCTTCAGTTGAGGGGGTGGGATATACCTGCTCTTCCGGGTCCGTTTGAAAGTGCTAACCTCAATCACTGAACCTCCACATCCAAAATGACCGTAATTTTTGTACTTACGTGTATTTATGTTTCGGGTCCGGTCTAGAAAACCGAGATTAACGGCCGTTGGGATCCGTTGCGCTGGCCACGCCACACCCTTTATCCGCAAAATTTGACACTAACTTCGCCGACAAGCGGCGGTAGCTCGGTCGGTATAGTTCGCTTGCGGAATACAGGCAACAGAGTTTTTAACTTTTCGGCAAGTGCCGTGTAATTAAAATTAGGCGCTGAGGAGCAGGAACTGCATACAATTACACAGTAATGTTCGTTCCATTTTTCTCTGTTTATATGCCTCCGTACCTAGTGACATTAAAAGAGTGTTACATAAAATGTTTCATATCTTAAACTCTTCCTCTAGTGCTTGAAAACTTGCTAATCAACATAGGAAGAAAAATAATTAATTGTCTTCTGACTAATTAGTTAGTTATTTGGAGAGGGTGGGTTTCCCCATGCACTTAGAGTATTGGTCCATTGTTCTTTCCTCTATGATTCTACCAGTCTCTATATCCTACCGGTACTGGTGCTTACCATCAGTCCCCCCCCAGCCAGCGAGACCGGCCCTACTAGCTGAGCGGTATCTATAACGCTTTCCCCATCTACCAGAGGTATTAGAGACTGCTGTTGGGCGGGAAACTCCGTAATTTGGCTCAGTGACCTCCTTAGGAGATATGTGGTTCTTTTACGTGCCGTAAAGCTACGACACGGGACCCACGGCTTAAAGTCCCTCCCGGAGGACTTGTTCCCTAAACTTTTCCGCCCTTAAAAATTCGACGACCTCCGCCGGTTATTTGAACCCGCGTACTACGAGTCATGAGGTGGGAACGTTACCTCTAGACTACGGAGGCCGCTCTTCTGACTGATAATATAGGCGTAACACTGGATGCGTATTATTATTATTATTATTATTATTACTCATTACGTGACTTTAGTCGGTAAGTGTACTATGCCGACAGGGCGACCCCCGCTTGTCGGCGAAGTTAGTACCAACTTTAGCGGATAGAGGATGTCGCGTGGTCAGCGCAACGAATCCCCACGGCCGTTAATTTCGGTTTTCTAGACCGGATATTATTATTATTATTACTATTATTGTCACGAATATCAGTGACTAAAGACGGAGTTCTGACTGGTAATTGGATACATTGACCACCTACAGGTCGTAACTACAAATAATTATTACACTATTGCTGATTTACATAATTTTTAATCACTCCACACTAATCTTCTCAGTCTATTTCCACTAGTCTTCACTGTCCGTTTCCTGGCAACGGATTTATAACACAGGAACTATAAGAGTCTCACTTAATCACACACTCCCAATATCACTGTGCTGCAACGCATGCAACGTCACACACTAGGTTTTCTAATTGTTCTTCTGGCCACACTGCTGTTCCCTTAGAACTTCGGAACTCATGTGAAGTCCATCTGTTACTCACTCCTCCAGCTTACGACTGACTGCGAACGACTTTTACAGTCCCCCACAAACCTTCGTCGCGGATCTACAGAAAACACGTCAAGTGGTCTCTATCCACTGTTGTGTGACGTCACTGCCTACGCGCAAGTACCGAGCCGTTGTTTTGAAACGGGTTGCATTAAACCGCTGTTCTATTTTTCTAGCGTGTATTACTTAGAAACTGTCGTTCCTGTTGCTCAACCTCTTTTACATGGAGCAAATATATCATATTATTATTATTATTGAAACACACACAACTGAATTATTATAATCCAATGGAGCAAAGATTTTATTAGTTGCTTAGCAAGTCAAGATATTCTTTGACTCTTATGAGACTCGAAGGCTCAATAACGTTTTCATAAGAGCACGCTCCTAGTCCCTATCCTGAGCCAGATGAATCCGGTCTGCATCCTGCTTCATTAAAATCCTTCTCAAAATTATCATCCAGTCTTAGGTCTCCTAACTGGTCCTTTGAATGCTTTTCGACTAATACGCATGTCTGATTTCCCCCCTCCATCAAAGCGCTTTCTTAACCTGCTTTCCTTATTTGATGTTGGAAGCTTGCATTTTCGCGGCCATATTCCTCTTAATCTTAATTGACTCTTCCCCGTATACTCTCCTTCTAGCAGTGTTTCCATTTTATATAGGTCAATGGACGAATACTTTCCAATCCCTTCTTTCTTCCCACAGCCCTTCCTTCTAAATTTCTCACAATTTCTTCTTTCCTTTCCTGCTCTCTTCCAATCTTTCACCGAGTCATCCTTTTCTGATTCGTTTCAGAGGCCACTTTTCTTTGAATTATATTTCTAACGCTCCTCACGGCATTCTTTCATTTTCTTCATGCTAATATTTATTAACTCAGCACTTAAAGTGGTTCTCCTTCATTGGGATCCCGGTCGGCCCGTCGGAGTACTGACAGATACTCAGCGCAAGCCTGGCCACGGGATGACATTTACTTTTGGGGTTACCCCAACGGCCCCGGAACTGCAACCATGCAGGAAGCATTGCAGAGTCATGTATCACTTGTACGTGTTTCCAAGTTGGCCACAGCTCGCCGTATCCTGTGTCGTCATGCAGCCCAGCCACTTTCACGTACTTGTGTCTACCTGTACACAGCGCACGGGGTTAATCATACTCACAATCTAACTTATTCACAACAAAACAAAACAAAGTCTGTGGTTTTAGTCCGCAAGCGAACTATACCGACCGAGCGACCGCCGCTTGTCGGCAAAGTTAGTGCCAACTTCAGTGGATAGAGGGTGTCGCGTGGTCAGCGCAAAGAATCCCCACGGCCGTTAACCTCAGTTGTCTAGACCGGAGCCTTTATTTCCTTGAAACAGCTCCTCAATTATCCTCATGAGGCTGAGTGGACCCCGTTCCAGGCCCAATACTTCTCAGAAAAGCTGGTAGCGCCGGGAATCGAACCCGAACCTCTGGTTCTGTAGCCAGTAGACCACAGAGGCGGTCAATTTAAGGTATTAACACTTAAAAAAATATAACGAGGACATATAACAATACAACAGACACTCAGAATTACGCAAATACATTAAGTAAACTAGAAAAAATAGAGTTAACAGAGAAGAATGTTCAGTAAAGCAGAATTAAGTTCTTGAATAATAAAAAGCTTTAAAAATTAAATTTCAACTGTAATTTGGAAGTCAGCTTCAGTTGAGTTTGTAACTGGTATCTAGAATATTCATTAAGGATGGATAAGTAATTTTAATTCTTAAATACGATGCAATCGATACTTTTCTTTTCAGGTTTATATATATTTTAGATATAAATTACAAATTGTAAATTAAGAGGATTCTTCTGTGTTTGAATTTGTAACTGTTTATCGGCAGTAGAATGACAATGGTGAATAATGGATTTAAATGAATGCGTAAGGAAGCGGTCGGGGCCTAATTTAACGCGTTTTTCCGGCATTTGCCTGGAGGAACTAAGAAAATCCAAGGAAACCTCAGACAGGGCAGTCGGTGGTTGGGACAAAATTCGAATCCGGCATCTCGCAGCTTGAACCAGTTTGCTCAGTATTTTCACTGTGAACCAAATCGTTCCCTTCATGAACACTTCCCTGAACGATGAGATATGTAGGGAATAACATAAAAATGAATTGTAAACCAAAGACAACTTGACGATAAATTTTTCTAGCTAATTAAATTTGAAGGTATTATCTATATTACTCAATTGATTTTGATTAAATTTGACATTCGGGGGGCTATAGGTTAGATGTACGAATTCATCATATCGTGAAAAAGACCACGTGAGACTCCAGGGCCTGGATGGTGAGTAATATTTAAACGTATCTTTAAGACAAAGGGGTATGTGGCTGGGGACTGGATTCATGCGTGTCACGATACAGCCCAGTGGCGCGGTTTTATGAACACAATAACGAATATTGAGGTTTACCGACTAAAATTTTGTAAGCAATTCTCATCTACCCCATGGACGTTACATTCCATGCCCCTTCAGTCTTGTTTCAATTACCCCAATCGTACACAATTATAAATAAACAGAAATGACGAAGTTCTTCTTTAAGTAATTTCCTGCACCCTCTCCTTACTATCCAAGTTCTCAGACATAATATAGGTTCTTCCTTCAGGACGAAAACCAATTTCATATCCACGCAAAACCATAAATAAATCAATACAGTTTTGTATAGAATATTCTAATGTTTACGTTTTTAGATAGGACATAGGAAAACATGAACATATATAGAAAAATTGTCCCCTCAATACAATATCCTCTTCATCTACAGGTCACATTTTTCTGAAATATAACACCGTGCAGTTCGGAGGGAGCTCGTTAGCTTGACATCTGCTTCCGCTGGTCTCTTGCTTCGCTTACTCCTCGATCCTGAACATGGGGAAGATATATTTCTCCGAAACGTCACTTCTCTCCGATCTACACATAGTTACAACTGACAAGACAGTACTTTTCATAGCCACTGCAGTCCAACAATCCTCTAATTTCATCGTGAAATCGACACAAGCATTCTGACTCTAGCCGTCGTTTCGAAATCTTTTAAAGTTGCCATATTTGTGAAGGTTTTGTTGTTGTGATTTTGCCCTGCATTCTGGTGGCCAGACATGTGCATATATATATATATATATGTCTTTACGGTGTCTTCTAGACTAACTTCCTTACTGACTTTAATTAGAGTTTCTGTGTTCCTTTCTGTCTAATTCTTCTTTCGTCTAGTATAGTATGACATAGAGACCCGTTGCTAGGCAACGACCGAGGCACAAACAACGAGACGACAGTTGCTACGCAACAGCTTAGTAAAACGCAACGGTACAGGAGCCTTTGCTAGGCAACGGCCAGTGTGCAATATTGGAAGTACGTTGGAAGTGGTGATTTCTGTGCGCTCCGCTCTGAGGCTACATCACTCGACCGACCGAGTTGCAGTGCAGTTGAGTATAGTGGAGTGAATTGGGCTGGTTGGTGAACATTCAGTAGTTAGAGGGCTGCTACAGATCAGTACTTGTGAGCCGTTGTTAGAAGCTGGTAGCTGAGTCATGATGATAATTCGGGAACCCAGAGGAAAGGGAAAGTCCACCGTTGAGAGCCGCTACCGACAAACGACTAGGGAAGACTGAAAGACTTAGTGTGTAGGTTAGTAAACTGTAGAGTGTGAGAATTAGTGATAGTGCTGTAGTTACTTGTGGTTACGAGTTGTGTGTAGAAATGCTCAATAAACCTAATTACTAATCAAAACCCCGCCTACAGTCATTCTATCACGTGGAAATATTAATATCATCAGCACAGACAACAGAGTACAGAGTAATATCTGATCACTTCAAGTTTATCCATTTATATACGAATTTGTATACCGTATATTTGATTAAAATTATATTTTGCACTGGCATAGTGTATGCTCGTCACTACTATTAGCATGATTTTTTAAGTAAAAGCAAGAAAATTAGGAACAAGCAATGGACTAATAATAGTAGTAGGAACGAGAATGATTTTTACAATATTGACAGTAGTAATAAGTTACTAGTCTTAATGAGATACATGGTTAAGGATTTATTCATAATTTCGTACAATGTTCAGCTTTGGGAGAAAATGGAAATAAAATTTTATATAGACATTTAAGGTTCGTAATTCAATTTTCCTACGCACAGGAATGTCGGCGAAATGACACGTGTTTTCTGTATCTGCAATTATTCAGTCATATACTTGTTCACCATAACTTACCAGGAGCAGTCCAGAGACCATGCGAACCTCTCGCAGCAAAGAGTATAGGATGCTGTCCTACAGAGGTAACATTAGCCCTGGGAGGAAATACGGGTCTCTGTAGCACCCCTTTTCGTACTTCCTGACGATCGTACTCAAAAGCCCCAATTGCAGCATTGTACCAGTAGAAGGCACCAGCGTCGTGGGTGGACACGTACATTGCAGAAGGGAGGCTGCCATGACCCTAGAAACAGCCAATGCGTTTGGGTACAAAAAGCCCCAAATTACAGGGCTATTATAAATGATTTTAGGGATGAGAAATGAGTGCATTATCGAAACGGCTAGAGACATAGACATAAAACAACTTGAAACAGCAAGTAAACTCGTGAAGTTTGCTTTGGATATCAGCCGCGAGTAGCGCTCCGATCACTATCAAAATAAAATGGCGTGTCAAGTGCAAAGGGCACAAATTTGCTTATGGTTTCACGTGATAAGTTAGGACACATTGGTCTCCCAGATTCCCGGACCTCAATCCATGTGGGTTCTGTCTATGGGGATGTGTAAAAGACCACGTATCCAATCTCCGATGCCGCAGTCTCTTCAGAAACTTTGACAGTGAATTTCGCAGGGCGTAGCCAAAGTCGATGAGACACAGTTGCGGGGTACATGGGAACTATCCGAAAATTGCGTTGACTTTTGTACAGTAACTATCCAATATTTATTGAACATCTATAGATCAATTTTATGAGTCTCCATGCTGGTTTCAAGTTGACTCGTGTTCATAACAGTTTCGAAAACACATTAACTTCCCACGACCCAAATCATTTATAATAGCACTTTATAAAACACAGCCAATACCAGAAACATTATATAACATCAACTGAATATTATTCTGAAGCGACGTAATTCAGCATAACAAGATACGCGCAAATTTACTAGCACATAATTACATGTAAAAATTAATCGAATTCTATATAATTTACTGTTTCGCATATTTTTATACGTTTCTGTGGTCTAGTGGTCAGCGTTCCTAAATACAGATACAAAGACCCGGGTTCGATTCCCAGTGCTGCCAAATTTTCTGAAAAATAGTGGGTCTGGAACGAGGTCCACTCAGCCTCGTGAGGATAATTGGGGAGCTATTTTAGGAAATAGCGGCTCCTGTCTAGAAAACCGAGATTAAGGGCTGTGGGGATCCGTTGCGCTGACCACGTGATATTCTTTATCCGTTAAAATTGGCACTAACTTCGCCGACAAGCGGCGGTCGCTCGGTCGGTATAGTTCGCTTGCGGACTAAAGCAACTGAGTTTTTTTCTCTGTGTGGCAGGTAATATCAAAATTTGAACCATGGACTCAAACAGGATGACATCATAAAATTTTGTTACTATTATACGAATATTTGCCTCTTGTCTGCGCACAGAAACACATCTGCTGAAATAGGGATTTTAGCATGAATGTCTCATACAGAAGCACAATGCTCGGACTCAATACTGCAAGTGGAGGAAGAAGAAAGAGGGGGGAAAGTGAAGACAGTGCAATGAAATAAAATATTAAAGAAATAAAGTAAGAACAACAGAAGAAGAAATGAAGAGAAGGAAATAAAAAGGCAGAAATCTAAATGAATAAATCAGGAAGACAAGAAACAAAAAAGAAAGGAGAGGCGAAAGTAAGAAACAAGAACCATTGCAGCGTGTGGGGTGCTACACAATGTGACGTAACACTCCACTAATCTCACCCGAAACTCGAGGCTCATGTGCTCCCAGTCGCCGATGTGGCTGCCGTACTCCCGGACTTTCCCCAGACACTGCGCGTTGAATGCAGGGACTGGCCACGTGCCAAACAGGCCTGTATCCACCATGCACAGGGGCTTCCCCTGACTGTATGGGTAGAACATCCAGTAGGTCACATGGAACAGCGCACTTTTGTTGGGACAAGTGCTGACCACTGCGTACACCGGAACCGCAGACAGGGCTGGGTTTGTCCCGTAGAGGAACGATGTCGAATCCAGTAGAAGCGAATCTAGAATTAAGAAGTGTGTTAGATGGCAGAGGTTGGAGTAAAGGCCCACAAACAGAGCAGACGACCCCGTTCTCGTGCGTGCTGTGGGCTTAAATGAATATTCTCATCACACTAGCATAGGACAATGCAGTACATTAAATATGTTAGAAAGAGATATGAACTTCTTGAAAACATTTAGTATTTTCCCCAGTAGCGTGTTCAGGTGTTCACAGGATATGCTGAAACAGCCACAACATGGAATATATTCCGCTTTCTGCGTAAACTATACAGTAACAGGCCGCCATTTTGGATATTTTTCATCAGCTGTTCCTTCTTCAGAAAAATACGTATGAAACAAGAGCATCAAATGCAGCGGAGAATTTTCCTTCAACTACGTCTTTGCTACGCAGGTCCAGATAAAACTCCCATAACTTTCATGCTCAATCAGATGGCTGCAAATTGGTTAAAAAGGTAAAGCTATCCTTGTTAACAGGCCGTGCAGGTCCATAAGGTCCTGAAACGTTGAGAGTCTCATATTTTCTAGACAACTGGCTCACATATGGTGGTGAGGTTGTCAGCCATAGCGCCGGCCGCCCTTTACCCCCAGGAAAATTCCTGGTATTTATTTATGTTAGAGGTTCAGTCAACCCGAACCCAGGGCACAGTGTGGCTAGGAGGATAAGGTCAATTGAAAAATGCAATGATCTCATTAAGAATTGAAACCGAGACCTTTCGGAATGTAGCATAGTGCCTCAATCAATTGCGCTACAGCGTGCGCCCTCCCAACAAATAACAAAAGTTAAAAAAGGCAACGCTGTCCCTGTGCTTACTTAATTAAGCAGTATGTTACTGAGATATAGGGGGGAGTGGAGGTATACTTCCACAATTCCTTACTTCGCACTAGAACTATTCTTTCATTTTTGTTAAGGTTGAAATTTGTGGAAATTGACCTTATTTGATTAAATCATTGCTATAAGAACGGCGCACTTCAGCCAATGACCTTCCGTATGTGCACCTAATGAAGTAACTGACCCTGGTATAGGGTGTACCACAATATTTACAAATTTCAGATCATAACGATGTCTGGAGTTCTGACAAGGCATGCAACATACCAATACTTAGCTTCGTAGCGAGGTACCAGGACTCTGAAAATTTCCCAGCGTTCCGGTGTGGCATGACGTGCTGGAGAAATCCGGAAACATCACTGGGGAAATAGCGCTCTCCTGGCGCAAGCCAAACCAGTGGAGCCCAGTGCCGTACAAGTTCCTCCACTGAAATCAGTTTTAGGACACAGCAAGCTTAAGAGCATTACAAGGCTGAATGGAGGGATTTTCTTAGCACTCTACCAGATTCTGATGTTTTGTGTGCACATCTCATATCTCGCATATACTTCGTCCCTCTCACTTTGAAGAAATCTGTGTGGTTTCGTTTCGTTGGTTATTTGTGACGCAGTCAATAACGAGAGCACACAGCGCCCCAATGATATTGTGGCACATTAACACGCAACAATAGAAGAAGCTGTGTTTTCTGTGGGTCCGCCCCAAGGCTATATAACGAGGGTCTGGGGCGGCTAGAATTAAAGGAGAGTCGAGCTCTGGAGCTGGCAGTTAGAGCAGAATAATTGAGGAGGGATGGCAAGAAAGTAATTAGGCTGCGTAGAAGAGACTTCATAGTGTACTACAATTACAGTGAGACTGTTACGAAGCCGTTGTCAGGATACGATTAATGAAGACTGAGGACACTAGTGTGTGTAACGATGAACTGTATAATGTGTGGAAATGGAGACAGAGCTATAATTAATTGTGGTTAAAATCTGAGTGTATAAGGTGGCAATAAATCAAATCATCCTAACCAAAACCCGTCTATAAGCCACGCACATCCCCCTAAAAATGAAAATATAATGATTGATGACGCGGAAGGAATTTGGAAAGCAGTGGTAGTGGCCTAATGGAGGATAGTCGGTGTCTCGGCGAAAATTCGGGCCTAGCACCTCCCGAATACTAGTCTACAGCGTCACTGCTAGACCGGAAATGCGCGCGAAAGTAATGTGCTTAATATGTTCATCTCTTGCTTTGCAACTTACTTTACGATGATGTCAGCTTCTCAGATTGCATAGCGTAGAATAGTAGAACGCCTAGTGAATAACGCATTAGGAAGCATCTGGAAAGCAGCAGTCATGGACTAATCAGGCTACTATCACGGTATTTATCTGAAGAGGCTGAGAACGGACACGAACAACTTTAGTATAGCCAGTGTCCAGCCCGAAATTCCAACCGATCACTTCCTAAGCTCAAAAAGTTACCGCTACACCAACCTGTTTTAGCTCCCGGAATATTAGTTACAGTAATAAATTGGAGCCGGTCACGCTACCCGAGTGATCTAAGGCATACACTGTCTTCACTTGCTAGGAAGCCGGGATCGTGGGTTCGAATCCCACTCAGGACATGGATGTTCAGTGTTTGTGTGCATGCATATGTGTTTTTCTGTGTACAGGTAGAGGCCTTGCGACGAGCTGATCACCCACCAAAGGAGTTCTACCGAATGTCTAAGATCTAGTAAACCGAAGTGAAACGGAGAATTTCATGGAGGTAGGCCAAGGCCCAAATTGGGGCTGTAGCGCCAAAGGAAAAAAAAGTCGGAGAGGCAGACGTTATTGTAAAAGGTAAAGGTAGAGTTGCCCCTGAGCTCAACTAATTAAGCACTAAGCCATAAGGGCATAGGGGGGGAGTGAATGTATAGACCCACATTTTCTTGATCTCGGAACTACTTGGAAGTGAGTTGTCAGCTTCTAGCCCCGTTCAGGCCTCGGTACCCATTGAATAGGAGGCTGGGTGGTCTCCAGAGCTGTTCTGGACGACATGGAGAAGTGAAAATTCTTGCCTCTACTAGTACTCGAACTCCAACCCCTTGGTCATCCAGCTCGTAGCCAGTCGCTATGCAGACTGTGCTACCCCGTTTATAAACTGAGATGAAATGACGTGATTTCGGAAAATGTGTCTGCAGGCGACGAAACATTTTGTAATTTTATTATCTTGATGATGCAGACGAGTTCAGTAGCCCACTGTAGGTGTAGAGAGGTTGTAAATCTACTGTATTTGGGTTGATACCGTCAACACGCAGACTAAAGGCGACCTGGAACAATGAGCAGACCTGCACTATTCTCTCACTGGCAGAGGGGTGGGGGGTCGGCAAATATATGTGTTAATTGAGGAAGTCGAGGTTTCACAAGGTTTGATAAGCCCTGCTCTGTGGTATTTAATATATATCTTATTTAATTCTGTAGCGTTTCTTAGTATGGCAAGAACATAACAAGGTAAACCGAAAGGTCTGTACTGACCTAAGATCGCCGTGTCAAGCTGGCAACCCTTATTGATCGAACTTATTTATGAGTATTGTAAGTTTAAAATTTATTTAATTCCCTCAGAGCAAATGTACAATAACGCATAAGCGAACAGTGGAACATATTGTGACGTGCTCATTGCTAGGCAACGACTTGGTATATATATTCCCGCGGGAGCAAACGCGACCAACTATAGCACGTCCATTGTTAGGCAACGGATCANGACCTGGAACAATGAGCAGACCTGCACTATTCTCTCACTGGCAGAGGGGTGGGGGGTCGGCAAATATATGTGTTAATTGACTTTGACTTGNATTGCTAGGCAACGACTTGGTATATATATTCCCGCGGGAGCAAACGCGACCAACTATAGCACGTCCATTGTTAGGCAACGGATCAGAACACACGCCTTATTAACAACAGAGGTTGTGTTTTCTGCGTGGTACGTGCAAAGTGGTTATAAGAACTGCTCAGAAGTCAAGTGAGCAGTGAAGTTTGGAGTCAGTTGCTGTCAGATGTTGACAGAGTTCAGTTGAAAATTTGTTGCCGAGAACAGCGTCAAGTTCTGGAGATGGCAGTCGAAAGTGGTTGAGAATAAATATTAAGAAATTAATTAGACTGTGGAAAGAAAACTCCATGTGTGATTTTAAGCTACAGTGAGAATGTTATAAATCCGTTACCTGGATACGACTAGTGAAGACTGAGAACCCTATTGCGTGTGTAACAGTGAACTGGAGGGTGTATAGAATACAGATAGCGTTGTAGTGGCTGTTGTCCCAAAATGTGTGAACGTATAAGGTGCAACAAATCCAATCATGCAATCCAAAACCCGTCTTATTAGTCACCCAATCGCGTGACAATAATTTCGGGTTGAGGTTCTCACAGCGGTAGCTCTTAAATTTCCCGTTTTATGGAGCATAAGGTAAAGTTGTCGGTGTGCTGAATTAGTTGAACATTATACCATGAAGACATATGAGGGAGTCGAGGTATAGCACAACCATTCTTGACCTCGGCACTAGATGGAAATAGAAATAGTCCGGTTAAAGTCAATTGATGTTTCGGAGACATACACTGCCTCCATTTTCAGGGCCGAAGACTAAGCAATAGCTAGAAGTAAGAAAGAGAATGTAATATGTTTCTCTAAAACGCCAATTAACTAACAACGGACTACGCGGCGCTTATCACAGAAGACAGAACTCCTCATTCGAATGTATATTATGGGTNCATATGAGGGAGTCGAGGTATAGCACAACCATTCTTGACCTCGGCACTAGATGGAAATAGAAATAGTCCGGTTAAAGTCAATTGATGTTTCGGAGACATACACTGCCTCCATTTTCAGAGACGAAGAGTAAGCCTTTAAGAAGCCAGCAAGGAGCTAGCAGTAAGAAAGAGGATGTACTACGTTTCTATAAAACGCCAATTAACTTACAACGGACTACGCGGCGCTGTATCACAGAAGACAGAACACCTCATTCGAATGTATATTATGGGCTTCCACGTAAAGTATTTCACTTTTCCGGTTCGTGCAAAAAGAATGCCTAACTCCTACTCACCACGATGCATTCTCCTACTCCATTCCCAACCGCTCGCATCCGTCTGCCGTTCTGCACTCTCTCCGAATACGATGCTGATAACAAGAAGCACGAAGAACAAGTCCATTGACCAGATTGTGTACAGGCACTGTGATTCAGTTGTATACTAAGCGTAGCCTTCTGAAATGAGGCAGAACTCATGGCTGCCACATGAATTCCTCACACGTCCGAGCTATGAAATGAGTTGGTTTCTTTCTTCGCAACGCTGACTCGGTAGTACCTTTACGTCATCGCTTTCACTGGTGTCCGACTGTCAGTAAGCGGCGGGATTAAATCCTCCGGAACTTTGGAAGGAGAACTATCTCAGGGATATATCAATTTACATTAGTTTCCAATATTAGCTCAGTCGGTATAGTGTCTACGCTACCGGCTGTAACACGAGGAGTTGGGGTTTCACTGCCCTGGGCTCCATCCAGACTCCTATATTCGTACAATCGGTACTGGAAGCTGTTTCTCCGAAGGTTTAGCGGCAGAGGCGTGAAGCTGCCCACTCACTTTCATCTACTGCCACCATAAAAAGTGGCGGAGTTACAACTTCGCCTCCACGTTTGTCTTCATGGCGTGGTGGTTAATTAATTAAAGTCCAGGAATAATTTTACGATCATAAATGTTGAATTGAAGGACTGTTTGTGAATTATAAGCAGCTGGATTAAATTCCAATCAGCCACCTCCCTTCCCAAAATTATCGATTTCTAATAATAATGTACACGCCTGGTGGCACAAACAATGATAAAATTGAATATCTCTGAGGATTTGAATGATACTCGTGCAAGTTGCGAAGAAGGCCGCGCCATAGCTCAAGCGGTTAGTCCCTGGCTTCCCACCGCGGCGGCCCGGG